AGACAGGGTCTCACTCTGTGGCCCAGGCTGGAGTGCAGTGGTACAATCATGGCTCACTGCAACCTCAACCTCCCAGGCTCAATGGATTCTCCCACCTCAGCCTCCCAGGTAGCTGGAACTACAGGTTCACACTACCATGCCCAGCTAATTTTTGTATTTTTTTGTAGAGATGGGGTTTCTTCAGGTTGCCCAAGCTGGTCTTGAACTCCTTGGCTCAAGCAATTCTCCCACCCTGGCCTGCCAAAGTGCTGAGATTCCAGGCATGAGCCACCACGCCCAGCTTAAATTCTTAACAAAGACTTGTTTTCCTCTAATCTCTTATGCTCTCTGGAGCAGGAGGTGCATAGAGGGGGGGAAAAAAAAAAAACACCCAGAGAACTGAGGGTTACAGAAAGTTAAATTCCAGCATAACTGAAATAATAGTCTCTTACTTGGCAAAATCATCTCTCAAATATGTGACTTTTGTCTTCCGCCCCACATGATCCAGGACTGAATGGCTATGCAGCACCAAGTACTGGTGAGCCAGTGGCGAGGCCCTGCTGCCCCTGTATCCACGTGCGTGGCCACCTTCAAGCCACATGTGTTGGCTACTGGGGTGAACGAGCTGACTGTCTCCACCCATCACATCCCCATGTCATCATTGACATCCGTCTACTTAGAAACCCTCCCACAAGGACACAAGGACAGCCACCCTCCCTCCCACTGAGAGTCCTCTTCCTAGCCCTCCACAGCATATCAGCCCTCCCCTACACCTGTGACCAGGTGCCATCTAGCCGTCTAGTGTTTGCTAACACTAATACCCTGTAAGCAACCTGAGGTCGAGACTTGCATCTCCGTAGCCCCTCCTTCTCCAGAGATGACATTTTCCAGGTGGTCTTATTTATAACTACTTAAAAACTTCCATACGCCACTTTCTGATTTGAAAAACATAGGAACTATCTCATCTCCCAGAAACTTATAAATGACTGTTGTCTGAACAAATATTCTAAGCTACAAACCCCTTCCTCCCTCCTGGGAGTACCTAGAGTAAACATCTGTGTCCTGGCAGGCCAGTCCCCAAGGATCCTGGAAGCCTCTCCTCTGGGTAGGAGACACCTGCAGCTATGTGTCTGCCAGGGAGTCAGCTGGGAGAGGGAGAGGGCCCTTGACCCACTCTGCTTCCCTTTGACCTGAACCAGGTCCAGACTCAGGATTTGGCCACAGGCAGAGAAAATGTAAGACATGAGAAAAGACTTCCAGACTGAGAACATGGGCCATGCGGGGTGGGTGAACGGGAGGGATGAGAGGAGGAAGTCTGATAATGTGGTTGGGGCATAAGCTGGGAAGGACAGGTGGCTGATGTGGCTGAGAACAGACCCCCAGATCTCTGCAGGACAACTCATAGGAGTAGTTTTCAGTATTTTTTCATCATGACTAAGAGTAAGAAATAATCATTTTTCATCACATCCCGGTATATCTCTATCTATCTATCTATCTATCATCTATCTATCTATATCTGTGCATGCACACAGTAAAACTGAAATTAAAAGTTACAACGTGGTAATTACCATTTTATATGTGATGAAACTGAAATTAAAAGTTACAACATAGTAATTACCATTTTATATGTGATGAGGTACTCTGACATTTTCTATTTTATTGCATTAAAAAATTGCTGGTCTTCACCCACTGACTTAACAATTCACTACCAGGTTATAGTATGCAACTTGAAAACTCTGCCCTATCATGTCTCAGTTATTTCAGAGGGGATTCAAGGCTTTGGAATTCCTGCTCTACATGATGCTCCCACACAGCTGAGCACCTGCTATATGCCACATACCAGGCCCGATGCTGGCAGAGGTGAGGAGGGCAGAGAAGGGTCAAACATGTAGACCAGAGGGCTGTGTGCTCCAGGTGGAAACATGGGCATCCAAGTGCCATGCAGACCTGATCTGAGGGTATTTAGCTACCTGTGAGCACCAAGGTCAGGTACTACCTCGCAGTGATTGGCATCAGAAAACAGAGTATCCTTGTCCCTCTCAGCCTGCCTGCCCTGTTGAGATCCCAGACCTCTCTCTTTCTCTCCCTGAGAATGGCTCAGAGGGCGGAGGAAGATCAGGTGGCAGCTCTATTTGGAAACAAGGGGATGACTGAGTTGATCCTGGCAGCTGCCTGGATGCTGAGAGCTCCCAAGTCTTTCCAGCGCCAGGCTGGGGCCACTTTGAGGGAGGTCCATTTAGGGTGGCTGTCCTTACAGTTCACTTGGGAGCCTGTTTCAGAGCTGCCTGTTCTCTACTTACTAAAGCTTTAAAGGCTACTTTAATAATCTTGAATTGATTTCTCATAAAAATTTTGATTTATTTTTCCACCACCCTCTAAGCATTCTGAAAGAAAAAATAAGCCACTCTGAAGGCACCATAAACTTCTATAAATATCCCAGTGAGGTGCTGCAGGAACTCAGCTACAGGCAGCGAAGAGTACAGAGCTATTTCCCTAATGGAAGACCCTACGGCCCTATCTTCTTCACCGTAACCGCAGCTCCTCCTTCCTCCAGCAGGCCCTTTCGTTCTCACCTCCCTCCAGTCTGGGGGTGAAGGCTGTGGCCTGGCTCTCCTGCCAGTTTGGGAGTTGAGAAACCACCCGAGTAACTCGGATGGATCCGGGAGCAGTAGCAAATAGAAGCAGGGAGACACCAGCAAGGGAACAGTGGCTGCCTCCAAAACGCCCCTCTCCAGATCGGGGACAGGGGAAGAACAACCAGGCCTTCTGCAGTGGACAGGGCCCTGGGATCAGTCAAGCTTTTTCAGGAGCAGCTGGCCACTTGGGGTTAACCAGGAGCCCCTCCTGGACAGGGGCAGCCCCTGGCAACTCCATATCACCCAGGCCTGGCTGAGGCCGGGCAGCAGGGGCTCTGTCCCAGGCTGAACTGACTGGGAAACACAGCCCAGTTGCTGACGTGTCTTACCTGGCCAGGTGTGTGACAGGCACTTGGCCATGAAGGCTTAGAGCTTCAGTTTCTACCTGTGTCAAAGGGAGACCATCATCCTGTGGCTGTGGGACTATACATGACCATTCTTGGTAAGACATAAGATGCTTCCACATGTGGAAATTACTACTATCGTTCTTCAGAAAAGCGGCGGTATATCTATGCAAGGAGCCAAAACAGCCGATCTTTGCTCTGTGGCTGTGCCTGCTAAGAAATACTGTCAGCCTTTTAAAAGGCGAAGGACCAGGAGATCTGGGCCACCCTTCCTGCCCACTTTGGTACAAATCCCTTCTTGGACTGCAGCTGACATAGGTACCCACTCGACTTACTCCCCTACCTGCAGAAAAGCCATCTTCCTATCTCAAACCACCTTCTAGGGCTGGGAGATAAGCTTCATTTGAAAGATGAGAGGGCGCTGAGACTCACACAGCTGCTGTGAACCTTGCAAGGCCACAGTTAGGATGTGGGGAAGCCACGGCCAATGCTGGTGAGAACCACCTGTCTACCAGCTGCACACCCAGCTCTGGTCTTGCTCAGTTACTCCCCCATTTGGATGAGCAGCAGAAGGAAGTGGAGGCATCGGAGGGGCCACAATGAATAGAGGCAGGAAAGGAAGGACTCAGGCAAGAAGGGCCTGGCCAGGAATGCAGGAGGCAAAGGGCTCAGAAGCAAGGCCCTGGGTGAGCAGGACAGCACAGCAGGGAGAGCCGCGCAGGCCAAGGCAATTCTGGACAGGCTCCTTCCACTTAAAGACTGCTCAGAGGCCCCAGTGACCCAAGAGCCAATCCAGGGGCAAGCTGCTTGAGGACTCTGGTCTTGGGAACCCAAGACTGAACCAGAGCCCACCTCCAGGGGCTCCCCAGAGTTCAGGCAAGAGAAGTCCATCCTGGGCACAGGGCTTTTCTGGAATCACATATTCCTGTCCTGGAACTATGAGTCTCACTATGTAACCTGATGCTCTCTCATGATGTGTTTGGTCCTTGGTTGATTCATCTGTCCAAGAAAAGACCCAGAACCTCAAAGGTCAGCTGGCCCTGCCTCCCACCCAGCCAGGGCCAGAGTTCTGCCTGCAGCACCCCTGACAGATGGGCACTTGCCTCCACATGAGGCAGGCCATGCCCCAGTAGCTGGGTCCAAACTACTAGGAGGCTGTTGCTTTTCATCAAATGGGTTAATGGCGATAAAAGGGCTTGTGAGAATGAAAGCATAACTGAGGGGGGTTATTATGAACATCACTGGCATCAGAACGGCATCCACATTAGAGATCATGTGAGAGACGGTGAACTGGGGCGGAGCCACCGAAGGAAGGTGCTACAGGAGGGAGGGCACACAGAGACCCCGCCCAGTGCTCAGGTTCTCTGGGCAGGGGGGACCGCTAGCTGGAGCTCAGGCTCGGCTCCCTGACGTCCTGATGAGACAGGAGGTACATCACTGCTGCAAGAGGAAGGAGGGGCCGCTTCCTGACCTCAGCAGAACCCACCCTCCTGGGGTCTGCTGTTTACAGAAGGCACCTATCAGACCCCTGGTTCCCTGGTAGTGAGAGCCCTGGCGGGCTGGGCTGACAGGGAGCAGCATGTTTGTCCTGGAAGGCACAGAGTGGCTGAGCTGAACGTGGCAGTCTCTAGTGGGCCCTGCTTACCCCTGTGAAGAGGTCCCGGCGAAGGCAGGGGAGTTGGGGAGGAGAAAGCACACAGAGGGCCAGAGCCGAAGGGTCTGAGACCACCTAGGCTGGCAGGAGAGACCTGGAGAGGGAGGGCCTGTGGCCCCCAATGGCCCAGCTAGTTCAGAGCTGCACGGTGGTGAAAGCGGAGGCCATCCACCTGCCGGGAAAAGCCAGTGTCCCACCCAACAACAGGCAGGCGACAGGGCCTCAAAATGTCTACCTTCCCAGGCCCCAGGCCCTTTGCTCAGGCGTGTGGGACAGACAGCCCAAGCTTCCCCTCCCGCCTGTGAAGATCGACTCCAGAGCCCTGTGCCCCATGAACGCCTTGTACAAGCACAACAGCCCAGGGCCGCGTGGGCCAGGCCCACTCACCTACGATCTCGTTCTCCTCCAGGTTGATGGTCTCCAGCACCGGCAGGGCAGTGAGTGGCTCAGGGAAGTCCTGGAACTGGTTCCGGGACAGGTCAATGGCCTTGAGGTGCTGCAGGGCACTGACCTCGCTGGGGAGGCGGTGCAGGAAGTTTCCCTCCAGGCGGAGCTCTGCCACATGCAGGGAAGGAGAAAGAACTGGATGAGGAGGGGGCCACCCGAGCCCACAGGGACTGCCGGCTGTGGCTGTCACCCTGCCTGGGCCAGGAGGGCATAGAGGAAGCCCTAGGCCACAGAGAGAGCCCTGCACAGTGTTGATTCCATGTTTATTTGTGCTAGAGGAGGGGTCACCCTCCTACCACTGCCTAGGGCCTGCCACCTGTCACTCCAGCTGAGGTCACCTGCTGCTGGTTTTGGAATGGAAGGCTCTCCCAGCAGAAGCCTGGGCCTCAGCGAGGGGTCAGGAGGTGCTGGCTCCTCCCTCATACAAAGCCTCGACTCCAGGCCCTGATTGGGCTGGTCAGGATGGGAAGCCTTTCCCGCTCAGGGCTCTCCATACTCCATTTAGGGGATACCACTCTCCATGGCCCTCCCTGCTCAGGGGGCCGCCAGGGGCAGCCACATTCTTTCAGTGTCACGTGCCCCTTCTCTCCTGGCCAACCACAGCTGACCCAATGTGGGGGGGTTCCTGCTCCGATAGCAGCTGCTCTGAAGGCTGGCCCGTGAACTGGGCAGAGACCTGCGTGGGAAGGCAGCTGGGCCGGGGGAGTCCCTCTGCTGGGAACCCAGCTGAGCCAGTGCCAAGAGATGGGGCCGGACACAGCGTGGGCTGAAGCTGAGATGCTTCAATCTAGTGAGAGAAGCTGGGTGCCCACAGGGCCCTGTGCAGGGAGGAGAGCTGGGGGACAGGAAGCAAGGGCGGCAGGTGGCAGAGAAGCACGGCCCAGGGCTGATGGGAGGAGGAACTGCAGCCGCCATGCTTGGGTGCACACCAGCTGTGCCCCCTACTCTCACTGGTCTTCCTTGGGACGTTATTTAATCCCCACAGAAAGGACATCGTCTCACCTGTAGAAAGGAACTGACATCAGAACGCATGTTTCCAGGGCTGTGGGAGGATTAAGTCTGTGAACGCGGGTGAAGCACCATGACAGGGAGATGTTGAGGTGAGGCCCCGGAGGCTGCCCAGTCCCGTCCATGTGTGGCCTTACAGTGCCTCTCTCCCCATCCTATCTGACCCAAGGGAAACTGACACCCAGAAATGCTGAGTAACCTGAAGAACGTCCCCCAGTTCTTCTCCCCAGGGCTGGCTTTGTGAGCATCGGCCAGTGCATTCACACAGGGTCTCATGCTCAGAAAGACCCCACACTTGGGGTGGAATACCCTGGATGGCCATCTTGAAAGTCTTGATAATCTTATCCTTGAACCTGTGTTTTGTCAGTGGAGCTGGAGTCATGGAGTCTGAGCTCACACATGAGCCGAACTCCTACTGCCTCCCCAAGACGGCGGCCTGCTCTCCCGCCTGGCCGCCCCTCCTCATCCCTGCTCTCCCGCCTGGCCGCGCCTCCTCATCCCTGCTCTGCCATGGCACTGCAGGCCTCCACCTCAGCAGGCAGGGTCAGAGTCAGGCATGCGTTCCACATGTCTCAGGGTGGAGCAGGCAGGCAGCAGCTCTCCTTCATCCTCACCTAGGGCCCCTGGGGCTTAGCGGGAGTGAGCCTCTTACCCACCCCAGACCTAGGTACTGGGCAGGTCCTGATGCACAGGTTTTAAGAGCCTTGGAGTTGCCTGCCTGCCATAGCTGAGGGTGGTGGACTCTTAGAAAGAGAAGACCTGGCTCAGCTTCCTCAGATCACCCCGGGCCAGGGTGGAAGGCAGCCATTCTAGCATCTGCTAAGAGCAGAAACCTAGCAGCCGTCAGGCCTGAGGGTGCTGGCATGGGTGCCCTGCAACATGGACGGGGCCCCTGGGTCGTCTGTCCTTCCTCCCTTCCGCCTTCCAACCTGCCTGAGTCTGGTTTGAGTTTGTCCTTCTGGACTACTCAGGAGAAAATAAGCCACAAAACAGGAGTTATATAATTTCATGATTCTACGTATGATTTAAATGCTCTGATAATTGTGCTTAAAACTGGCATTGCACAACATAAAGATAAATGGTAAAATTCATGCTAAGTTTTGATCTTTCAAAAGTAGTAAATATGAAATAGTAAATGAAAGTCACCATGACATGCTGAGAGAGACTGTAAAAGAAAGGAAAAGCTTCCGATGTAACTTTTAGGAAAACGACCCCTGATTTCTGGAATCCTTTCTCTCTGTGCCCCACCAATTTTGCAGCTGGCCCTGCCCCTCCCTCAGTGCTCCACGTCTGCTCTTCCACAGCCCCACAATGAACGCCGCTGCTCTGAGCTCCCCACAGCCCCTCCCAGGTATCCCTACAGTGAAAGCTGACCCCCTGCCTCACTTCCCAGTGCCTCTTTGTACACACCCCCCCCCGACACACACACGCCTGAGTTCTAGCCCCACTGCAAATCCCCTGCTCCAGCACACTGGGGTTCTGGGGAGGTAGGAATCTGGGGAGGTAGGAACTGCATCTGATTTATCTTTGTCCCTACAAAAGGCACCTTGTGTCACTCAGCAAATATGTGACTCAGCAAATATAATGACTCTTCTCCCCTCAGGAGGCAAATAGACTGTGCAGGGGACCTAGACTACCTTCCATTTTTCCATCTTCAGGGACATTGGAAACCAAGGTTCCATCAACAGAAGAAAGAAAGAGAGAAGGGGGGAAGGGAAGAGGGGAGGGAGTGGGGAGGGAGGGAGGGAAAGAAAGACAGGAAGGAAGGAAGGAAGGAAGGAAGGAAATAGTTGTTACTGCATTCCACAAAAATAATGTTATTCAATTCTCTCTGGACACTGTTGCCAGATGAGGAATCTGGGCCCTAGGTAGATTTGTACCAGTCTGGAGTTGGGGGAAGAGCACATTCCAGGCAGGAGGGAGCTGCCTTACAGAGTCACTCAGAAGCCCCTTCCCTGGAACAGACCTTTGTTCTTCACTGAGAACACAGCCCGCTTTCTCTGGCTATTTGGTTCTTGTTTAGTTCACTTCTCTAAGCTGGGAGCACCAAGCATCAGAAAGCTGATAAACACAGCCAGTGTCACAGACACACAGCACGTTTACTTGAGGGATCTCAGGGGCTGCTGGCCCAGGCTCTCATGCTCTAGGGCCAGACCCAAAAGCTCAGCAGGGCCACCAGGATAACTACCAGAGGGTGGGAGGGAGAATCTCCTCTGGGTTGATTTTGTTAGCCCCAATTTTTTGACATGTTCAAAAATTTTTAATGGCCTTTTATCAAACCAATTCAGGCCTGAGTCTATCCTTCCAATGCTAGGATTACAGGCATGAGCCACCACGCCTGGCCAGAAAAGGGTAATCTTCGAAAATTTAATACACTCAACAAGGCCAGGCGCAGTGGCTCACACTTGTAATCCCCGTAATCCCAGCACTTTGGGATGCCAAGGTGGGTGGATCACTTGGGGCCAGGAGTTCAAGACTAGCCTGTGCAACATGGCGAAACTCTGTCTCTACTAAAAATACAAAAATTAGCCAGGCCTGGTGGCACACACTTCTAATCCCAGCTACTTGAGAGGCTGAGGCAGAAGAATCACTTGAACCCGGGAGGTGGAGGTTGCAGGAAGCCAAGATCACACCACTGCACTCCAGCTTGGGTGACAGAGTGAGAGCAAGACTCTCTTAGAGACACAAGACCCAAGACACTTGGTGCCTGGATTATGGAACCTTTGGAGAAACAAAACTGAAAGCCAACATGAAAGCAGGAATCAAAAGGGAAAATAAGAGAGGGTCAGTGCAGCTCTAACACATGGACTGCAGGAAGTCAGAGCCTGTGATGCCAAAACAGCCTCCACTTACACAACAAATATGACTCAGCACCTACCACAGGGCAGGCACTGCTAGACAGCGGGAAATCATGGCTAATGACAGACTAGATTCCTCCCTTGACAAGCTTACAGACAAGTGCAGGGAGAAACAGTAAACAAGAAAAGGTTATTTCAGAATGCTAAGAAGGTGTTTGAGGTCAGGGTGAAAAAACCAGTTCTGCCGAAAGCCCAGGGAAGAGCTATCTGCTTGTTGTTTTACTGCAGTGGTTAGAACTCTGAGGATGAGAGTGAGCATCCCTGCCTTGGTCCCAGCCTGGGAGAAAGCCTTTCATCATTAAGTTGGATGTTAGCTGTAGGATTTTTGAAGACGCTACTTAACAAGTTGAAAGCTAGTTCCCCTGTATGCCTAGTGTGCTGAGAGACGAAATCTGTCAAATGCTTTTTCTTTGTCAAATGATATGATTGCATGATTCTTCTTCTTTAGCCTTTTCTTTTCTTTTCTTTTTTGAGACAGAGTCTCAGTCTGTCATCCAGACTGGAGTGCAGTGGCACAATCTCGGTTCATTGCAACCTCCGCCTCCCAGGTTCAAGCAATTCTCCCGCCTCAGCCTCCCAAGTAGCTGGGATTACAGGTGCATGCCGCCACTATGCCCAGCTAATTTTTTGTATTTTAGTAGAAACGGGATTTCCTCATGTTGCCCAGGCTTGTCTTGAACTCCTGAGCTCAGGCAATCCACCAGCCTCAGCCTCTCGAAGTGCTAGGATCACAGGTGTGAGCCATCACACCCAGCCTAGCCTTTTTATATAATAGATATATTGACTGATTTTTAAAGTTGGACCCAGCCTTGCACACCTGAATAATTGATAAATCCCACTTGCACATGTCTTATATTCTTTTTATACATTGCTGAATTTGACAGGTAATATTTTGCTGAGAGTCTTTCCACCTATGTTCATGGGAGATATTGGTTTGTATTTTTTCTTTCATATTTTTTGTACTGTCTTTGCATTTGTTATCAGAGTAATATAAGCTTCATAGCATGGGTTGGGAAGTGTGCCCTTCCCTTCTACTTTTCTGGAAGAGGCTGTGTAAAAATTGATGTTAATTCTCACTTTAAATGTTTCGTAGAATTCTCCAATGCAATCATCTGGGCTTGGAGATTTCTTCTCTGGGATTTTTTATTTACGAATTTCACTTATTTAATCGTTGTAGGTCTATTCAGGTTGTCTACTTCATCTTGGCTGAGTTTTAGTGGTTTGTGATATTCAAGAACTTGG